CTCCTCTTTCATCTCCACTAACACTACACATTTTAATGCTGAAGTCTCCTTTGTGCAATCTACATTGCATGCTGAACAGCGTACACAGAATTCCCATGTTGCAAGATACCTCAATATAACTGGAAGAACTACCACCACATCTGACCCCTTTGTAAAAAGAAAAGTCAAAAGAAAGGCACAGCTAAAAGATTCTCCACATTGTAAAAGAAACTAGACTACTGTAAACTGGCTAGTATGAAAGGATCTATATTCCAAAACAGGCTTGCCCTCTGCAGCTGGGCAGTTTGCAAAGCCAGCTGGAACTCTCTCCAGTGAGCTTCAGGCTTGGAAAATCTGGAGCTCAGCCAGTTTACTCCATCAGTGCTGGCCACCCTTAGGCAAGCCAGCTGTAATCTTCCTCTTCCGGACAAGTCCCAGGCAAGATGGCCAGCAGCTCTTTGCTGTGCTCTGATTTCGGGGAGCACTAAAAAGTGTGAAGAGTATGACCACTGTCACAACAAAAAAGTCAATACTTACGAACAATTACTAGTGTGATACGGAGATGCTGCTGGGTTGTCTGCTTGGCACCTGAGTTGATGGTTGTTGTGGTATATATGATTTTTTTTTTTTTTAATGCAGTAACTCTTACTGTCTGATGCTGCTTTTGTTTGTATAGAACCAACGTGAGGGCCATAAAGAAGTGCTTGGTTAATGTAATGTTTGGTTCTATTAACTAATTACTGATAAATTGAAAGCAAATACAGAAAGCCAGTTTTGCAATAAAGCAAATAAATTGTAATTTTTAATGTATTCACTTCTCCCTAAATATTTTCTAGAAAAGGAACAGTATTAAGCATAGTTTTGCTCTGCACAGTTTGCTACCTTTTGAAAATGTAGTGGTCATTTCATGTACCCAGTAAGATGAAAATTCAGTCCTAGACCTATGACCTCCTTACAGACAGAAAAAACAACTTCTTTTGCCCATCAGATCAATCTCCACAATACATTACTTTAGCAGTTTTCAGCTCCCTCATATTGCATAGGTATGTTGAGTAAGATGACAGAGCAACTCTTTACATTGTTAATCGCTACTCAGGTTAACATCACAATTGCTTGCTTTGAGTATGCACTGACCTGAGAGAGACACAGAAGGTGTCTCTCCCACAAATTTGGCTTTAGCCCATTCAGAAAATATTCCACAAGAACTATAATCATAAGAGTTAAGAATTCCTGTGGACTTACTGACACCTTTTGTTTTACATTGGTGTTTCTCAAAAGGTGGGGTGCAACCTGCCTAGTAGGTGCAGGAGTGTTTCAAGTGGGTTGCAAAACATTGGAAAAAGCTATGTTACCTGGCAGTAAGCTAGTCCTAAGATTGTGGCATGAGGTAGGGCTAGACTTACTGGCCATGAACATTTATATTTGTAAGGAACCTGTCAGCTGCTGTCAGAAGTTTGCTTTCCCCGGGACACGGAGTAATTTTTACACCTACTGCCTGTAATTACAACTAGTTCCTGCTCCCCTACCTTGAAGAACCAAAGCTATCGTCAATTCAGTCTTATAAAACATGGATGAATCAAAAAGAAGTCACAAAAAGTCCGAGGAACACTTTTCTAATTAATACAACAGTCCAGAAGGGGTGGGAACAACCCATCTGAGAAAAAGAAAGAATGCAAGTGGCTGAACAGAAAGCAGCTGAGTTCAGGTGCAAACTATCCAAATGTCTCGTGTGTATTAAAAAAGCCAGTCAGAAGTCTTAGCACCTAAGATGTTCTCACACATTAAAACTATGCTCACTAAAGGATGGTAAAATTATATTAATTTCATTTTAAAGTTAGTAATTTAACTGCTAGAAAGTATTTGTAAGGTTCAAAAGACATGGCTCAGATGGCTCGGACATTTTCAGATTGTGCACTGCTACTTTTAAATTAAAGCAAAAGAAATATTCTCTCTCCACACACCGTACAAACTATTTATATGCTTTATAGAGCCTATAGATCACTGTAAGGTTTTACATTATCATGTAAATTTCTGAATCTTGATAATACAAATTTTTACCAACTTTACACACTTTCTGGAACTTGTTAATTTGATTTTGAAACCTAAGTCAAGTACTTTACTCATACATACACAGAAATCACAGACAAAGAAACTCTTACATCTTTGCCTGAAGGATGATAATGCCTGTATAAACTCAAGGCCTTGTAAAAATCCTAAACATATTTTAATTACAACTGTAAACACACACGCAAGATCCTATGTAAGAGCGGGATAAATTCACCACACTCAGTGAGTAACTGGCTGTATAGTTGCCTTATTGACAGTGCCTTTGAAATTAATGAGTCTAAGCACACAATACTCCAATATGCACAACAATGATATATTTCAGTAAATAACAAAGTATGGCACTATTTCTAAACAAAACATGCTGGTACAGTACAGCTATTCTTCTACAAGATTTTATAACTGTGTAGAAGAGTTTAAAATGAGGTAAGAGTCAATTTTAATGCAGACTAATGTAAGCAAAGCAGCATACCTAATGACACATTAAAAATTATACTTTTGCCTTTAAGTCTTGAAAAGCTTTCTGTTCTACATTTGTAATTAACTCAAATTCCACTGTGCTCAGATAACAATCACTGTATGCCAGGCGAAAAGGCCAAGAGCGTACTTTCTTAAATTTAAACTATGTTAATAATGTTATCTAAACTAATGGTTGAACATACATGTGAAATGCCATAAAATGATGTATTACTATATATCACAGAACATGATACAAACAAACAAAAAAGTATTTTCCCAAACAAGCTGCAATAAAAATAACATTGACAACTGCTATTCAGTTTCTTAAGCAATTCTCTTTTATACTACAGTACCTACCAGTTGAGAACTCTGATTTGACTGTACCACCTTAACCTGAGGAGGCTGCACTGTATTTGATACAGAGACTGTGCAAATGTTGTTTGGTTGCCTTATTCCTATTGTCTGCGTTGTGACAACAGAGGAAATGCTTCCAGAGGCAGATTGAGGTATAACTTGTGATAGCTTGGTTTGTTGAAGTGACTGCTGAGACGGCTGTCCTTGCAAAACTGAATGTTGACTATTCAGTAAAGATTGTCTCAGTGCAGGTAGACTTTTCTAAAAACAGAAGAAAGTTTATGAAATATCAAATTTAGCAGGTTGACAAAAAAAAATTTTGAAATTTGCTGTAAACATAATTAAAAGAATGCAGCTTTCTTTCCGATTTTATTATCTGCCTATTCATCAAAAAGAAATAAGAATAAACATATTTTGTAAGAGGGAAAGTTCAGTTTACATTTTTAATAAGCTTTCAATTTAGATTTAGCAACCCTGTAGATTTTGATGTGCCCTAATTCCACAGTAGCAGTAAAATATAACACTCCTTTCCTCAAGACTATCTAGAACTTGTAGCTTAGGTCTTTGGAAGGGCAAAAAATGGAAACAGAAAAGGCAGAACCACAGGAACAACTCTATTCCCATTGCATGCTAAAAGAAGTAAGCTGCACCAATTTACTTCTCCTGACATGCCTCCAGTACCTAGAACAAGACAATTTAACTGTTGATGCCCTACAGCAATAGCTGTTTACTGTATTATTACTGATCTAATGTATTCTGACTGAACTAGAAAAGTGTACTATTGTATGCTTCATGTTCAGACCAGTTCAACCAAAAAATATAGTTCTAAAAGGCTATACTGTACCTTCACGAATAAACTTTTTACTTTCTAAGTGGTAGTAGTGTTCTTTTGAAGTGCTCCCCCGAGGCGGCTGTAGAGTGCAAGTGTTTAGCCCAAGCTACAGTTCTTTCTAAACTTCTAATATTTATTTAAAAACTTAATGCCTGTTGCCAAGAAAGGACTTCAAAGAAGGGAAACAAGTTAAAACTTATCACGATGTTAGAAGTGACTGCAGTGTAAGAGCAGGAAAAAGCACAAATAAGGGTTAATGATAACTTGAAAAAACAGAAGCAGAGGGAGAGAGTTCTGAAGAAAAGTTAAAGGGAGAGAAGAAAGAGAGGAAATCTGCCCTAAACTGAGAAGTTTTGGACTAGAAGAAAAACACTTTTAAAATTATAGTTGTGGTTTTGTTGGGGCATAATTAAACATGGTTTGTATGTTTGTACATAATCTTGCATATGGAAGCTATTGTAGCTAATGTACAAGAACCAATTAAAAGATAAATTTACCCCCACGTATACTAACTTAGGACCCAACAATAAATCCATTTGGTATCACATTAGAACTTCTATTATAGATTAGTTCCAGATTACAAGCAGGATCAGCTAATCAATTATTTCAACAGCATTATCCATTTTAGTTTTTCATAATCACCGTTACACACGCACTGAAAGTTATCAATGTCTCAAATGTAGATTACAAGAACAATATGGGAAGAGCTTATTAAATTACTTGAAGCATTCAATAGAAATAACTTGTAACTCTTCCAAATGTGAATGCTGCACTTTATAAAAAATGAGCTACTACCACAGAAAAGTGAATGCATTATAACAGTAAAGGATCACTACAGAATACACAATGGATGATTTCCAAACTAGGGAGTAACTGCTTTTTTATATAAATCTAATTACTACAATGTTCTAGATCAGGGCTACTCAAGCAGTAAATTCCACATCAGCTCTGGATGACAAATAAATTTTTCTTAAACCTAAACCAAGGCCCCAAACACATAAGGTCTCCCTCCCGTAGGAAATCGCTATTTCTTACCATTCTCTCAACCCGTCAGGGAGCAGGCAGCTACAGAACACAGCCACAGCTCCCAGCCACGAAAAGCAGTAAGCAGCACCTGGCTGGCCTGACAGAGATGGAGCCTGCACGTGACTTCCAGCCAAGAAGATTTCGGCAGAAATTGGCAGCACAAAGTAAAAATTGAGTAGTCCTGCTCCAGACAGGTGAAGCTAATTCCATTTAAAAAGCATATTCTAAAACTTAATGTATTGATATTTGCATTGAAATAAATTTATCTGAACAATATTCTCTTTACCTTAAGGAAAGGTACAAGATATGGCTGAGGAGATGATTTGAGTTCTGATTGAAGGCGGCCTGTAAATTCTTCTGGATCAATCTTTGCATCCTTCAGGGGAAAGAAAAAAAAAGCATCAACTCCTCAAGTTCAGTTGTTTGGTTGGGTTTTTTTTCCAGATAATATATATGTATATATCTCTAGCTAAATAGGCTAACCATATCAAGAAGAACTTTCAAAGCTGAAGTTCCTCAGCTCCTCTGTATCTATAAAATCATTCCGTCAAGAGCTAATTTATATATGTAACATGCCACTCAGAATTCAGGGAGTTCCCTTGGGGATGCACAATTGAAGACACAACGAGATCCCACAAACACTCAAGTCTTTTTTGGGATTCCAATGGTATTTTGGGATTCCTATGCTAACATTTACATAGTGACTTCTTTTTAAAAATATGAATTAAAAAAACAGGTTGTTGAATTAACCTTACAAACTATTACAAAATTTGTCAGCCCTTGTAATAAGAAAATATCTTTACTTAATTCCAAAACCAATTTTGAAAGTTCAGTTTAACTTAGCAGAATGCATATACATATATATAAAACTATATATGTAAAGCATATGCATATATAAAGAGTATACATATAAGTGTATATATATAAAATTTTCACCTATATAAATGTGTGTATGTATATATATGTGTATATACTCACAAAATATACACTTACAAATATATGAAATACATATTCAGTAGTTTATTTAGTAGTTAATACAGGAGAACTCTATAACCCAGATGTATTTTATAATACTTCTAAAGTATTACTAGTTACAATCTCAGGTTGTAATAAAAACATTCATTAGCTTTCCTGGACTGATACAGAACAAGAACAAAAACAAACAAACCAAAACAACTTTCAATAAATACATTTATTATATAAGTGTCTCACCTTGTTTAAAATATTATAAGTAGTTACCTTTACTTAGTTAATCTTTCTTAGTATTCAAAAGTTAAAACGAGATTTTACTGGAACCACTGAATATTATTGTTGAATGGCTCATACTTGAAAAAAGTATTAGGCTTGTCTAAAATACAAAGATTTCTCTGTCAATGAATTCGAAGAAACATATCAACTACTTTTAAATCCAAGTTCTTCATAGACTATATTTAATTTAAGAAGCTTGACCATTTGTCCAGCTCCACAGTAACATGTCTGCAACGCGTTTATACAATTCATTGAAACATATGTTGCACTGGAGACTACAGTAAGTCAGACTTTTTCTGGGCCCAAGGACTCTGTCTAGCTGAAACACAACTTTGCCTCTTGAAATCCACTTGCAGTTAAGGCTCCATGCAGGGGCATCTGTCTGCAGAACTGCTTGGACTCAGCAGCTTAGCAAAATACTTTTCCTTCAGTCCTAGAAACTCTAAACCATGTTGTGGAGGCATATATCTACATTCACTCTGTGGTTAAAACATTTAATAGCTTCTTACTGTTTCAGAAAAGACCATGGTTTGGTGGAAAAGAAACAATGAATCGTCAAGGAAAAAATCCTGTATTTTACTCTATTTTTCTAAATAAATGACCAAAATATTATCCATCAAAACAACAGTGTTTCTGATGAATGCATATTAAATACTTTGTTGCATTTCCCCTTTCAGAAACTAAAAGAAAGCCTACCTTTAACAGATTTTTGAAGAACGTACAGAATATTTGCATTTTGATGTAGCCCAACTCCTTTCACTTTCATTACAGCAAAAAAATTAAGATCAAAACAATAGTTTTCAGCATACGTAAATAACAAGCTTAATAGACAACTGACAAAATGAAAGATAACTAAATATTTACCAACAAATCCTGAACCAGAGCTTTCACATTACGGGACGTTTCCGGAGATGGTGAATTATGAGAAGCAAGTTTTATAAGGGTAGCTAAAAAGTTTTTGCATTTTTTCACATTCTCTTGCATTTCCTGCAAAAGTCAAAGAAAACAAGTAGCAGATACAATCTATTTTCCAATCAGGATCAATGCAAGCTCTGATCACTATAAAGAGGGAAAATGATGAAATTGTTCCAATTCAGGCAGGACATATTTGAAATACATCTGCAGCTATTTTACTATTGCTGCTAGTTACCTGACAGTTTCTTCACTTCTTTATGTAACTGAACATCATACCTCATGAATACTAACAAAAAAAAAAAATCAATGAAATATATTTAATATTTTACAGTCTGTTTTGATAAAAATAACCTTAAATATAAGAAGTAATGCAACAATTTGTTGGAGATGCATTCTCCTTTGAGATGCTCAATACACAATGTACAATGTTCCCCAAGCTATCTTAATTTAAATTATTGATTCAGTATGTTTTTGTACAATGCAGCTACAGCAGTAAAGTCAAATTAGAAATAGTCTTCAAACATCATCATATCTAATCTTTTCTTCACCAGTAGGAAAACAGATGCTCTAATTTTTTCAAGCCATTATTTTTATATGTTGTAATTACTCCGAGAAACAGAAATTTTACACTTCAGTGTAACCACAGTTTTGAGGCCCAGCAACACAATAATAATGAAGTCCATAGACTGAAGGCCTGATTGTTCTGTCTGGAGAAACAGAATAGCTCTTTCACTACTGACACATACATGGCAGGATGGAGAAAGCTGACCACAAGTGTTCTTCCTCCCTCTCAGAATTTGTATCCCATTTAGTTGAAATGAGGGGAAGGGTTTCTTGTTTGTAAAGTATTTGTTCCATCACGGGAAGTGTGCTTGCATGAAGAAAGAGTTCTTTCTGCTTCTGAATAGACCTTAGAAGTTCATAAAGTACTAAAAAACCCAAGTATCTAGTATTTTAAAACTTACCTGTGATACAACTGTGGTTCCAGGTACAGGAGAGCTTGGTATGACCTGGGGCTGTGCTGGTACTTGTGCTGTTGTATGAGGTGGAAGTGGCAGCCGAGGCTGACCCTGGTTTTGTGCTGTAGCTTGAGTTTGTCCACCAGTAATTACTGCAGGTTGTTGAGAAGCTGATGTTCCAGTTGCTACTGTTGTCTTGAATAAATTTTGAGCACTCGTTGTAGCTACTGACACCTATTAATATTTTATATTGAAAAAACAGGTAATTATCTTCTTTTAGTTCTTTTACTCAACCACCAAGTTCTTGAAAGCCTGACAAGAAAAACTTGTTTCCTTTCAAATACACACTTACCGACAAAATAAAACCATTGACTTTACTTACTTATTATAACCCTAATTTTGTCACCCTTTAGTGAACAGTGAAAGTCCTCCTTTAAAGTTCTTTTTATTACAAAAATAAATGTACCACTAAAAAATGAGTTGCTATTAACCAGCCCTTTAAGATCACCGTTACTTCTATAACTCACCTTTCTGTAAATTTGGCCCTTAAAATAAACAAGTCAATTCCCAATGATCTGTGGTCATGTCATCAGGTTTACAGTTATCTATACCACAGTTACAGTGGCAGCTCAGATCCAAATGATACAAATGCACTAACACAGCTTCCCAACCTAATCTGAACCCAGCAGCAGCATATGTGCTTTTGCACCAGTGCAAAGCCCTAGCAAGCAAAACTGTCCTGGACCTAGCTGGGCCACACGCAAAGGCCGTGCTGCATGCTCCTCAACCTTAGAAGGCTGGAAAGCTTATCAGGCTGCACAGAGCACCACATACACACACACCCCCCATCCAGTTCAGCTCTCATACTTTATCTGACCCTACATGCCACCCTTTCAAGTGCCAAAAAGTCTCAGACAGGCACACCAAATGGGACTGCAGAAGCTAGAGAGCTCAGCCAGGCAGCATAACACGCTGAGCAGAAGCTATCAGGACCCCCCAATCCAGCCTGACTGCAGAGCTTTGCTCTGTCTTGGGCACAGATGCAGAACAAGCTGACACAGGCACCTGCACTGCGATGCCACAGGTGATGCTGTGGATCCTGCAGCACACAGCAGACACCACAGCTCTTGATGGGGGACAAACGTAGTACAGCATGTCCACCACTGACACAGTATTCTTGAGTCCAGCTGGTTTAAGTTTTTTCTTCAAAAAAAGCTCAAAACTGAATCTATGCTGCCCCCATTTTTTTTATCATCTAGGAAACAGCAGAAAATAAGATCTAGGCTATCACTCAGCACCTGCATAACACAGTCTGACTATACATTCATTATTAATTTCTGGGATTATGTTTGCGATAAAAGCAAACATATGAACATTAAAATTCACTTTCGAAAAAACATGTAATTATAAACATTCTTTTCTTCACCCATCTTTTGCTTTTTATATTCTTACTACTTACTGTGGTATGTGAAAGAATAGAGCCTCCTGGCAGAGTTGCAGCAGACGTAGCACTGACAGGTGCAGCAGTTGATTGAACAACTTTGGCTTGCACTGGAAGTCCTAGGCGGACAGTAGATGTGGCTACAGAAGTTGGTTGCTAATAAAGGAAAAATAACCATTTTATTTTTTTTCCTCCTTAGTAACTTGATCTCCAGGAGTTTTTAATAATAGTGATTACATGAATAATGATTATTAACACTGCAAAAAGCCAAAAACAGTAACATGTTCTTAAACATATATTCACAAATAATGCAAAAGTTAGCTTTATGTTCAACAATATGTTTGTAATATTTCTCCTAAAAGCTGTTTCTCATACAGATATGTGGAGAAGATTAGAAAAAATAGGATGCGACCTGCAAAAAATTGATGTTACATTGCTGTATTAGTTCAGTTGTAGTGTTTACATGTCAGTATTCATCAATATTTGAGTTCATAATTGCCAGTAACACATATTGGTCATTTTGGTATTTACTGGCCTTTTCTAGTGCTTTTTCTTGAAGAAAATTAATATGGAGAGAAAATTCAGAGAACAGAAAAATATTTTCAAGATAATTTCAGATTAAATTATATAGAAACTAACTTGCATAGAAATGAAGTCTAAGCATTTTGAGAATCTTTGTCATAGAATGCACACTCTGTAACCAGACAGCAACTGGAATGTTAAGTGCAGACAAAGGAAAATGACTGGCTTACAGCCTTTCACTCAGTAGCATACTCTACAATTCAGTAAATTTGCCTCATGCAGCAAACATATTAATTGTTTTTGTAATTTACTTTAATTGGGAGAGAGAGATTGAAATCTCTTACCATCATATAAAAGGACAAGAATTAGGAATAAAAAATGACTCCAGGAAAGTTATTATTTAATTCTGTAGGAATGTAAATACCATTATGGAAGACATACATCACACAATATGGCAATTATGACAAAAAGAGAACCACTCATTATTAAAAATGGAGGCCCCACTGGTCTCTTATAACTTCCATTTATTAAGATTTGCATTCAAACACATACTTAGAAAAGACAAATTTTCTAAGTGGCTAGAGTACTAAATCATGGACAATATTGTTTCTCACAAGATAAAACTAATTTTCCTTGATTTACATTTTAAGTTATATGTCTCTATAATTAATATTTTTATAAAGAACGGCTTATTTTAGATTCTTACACTGTCTATTAAACCTATATAAAATTCTTCTTCAAAGAACATCCAATATACTTAAGAGATCTCCAGAAGGAACAGAGGCCCAGGTAGGCATTCAACGCCCCAAGCATTCCTTACCAATCAGTCCAGCAACATCATCTACTGGATATCAATCTTCTGTACTTGGGGGAAAAAAGGAAAGAAAAAAAAAAAATCTACCTGACATCTGAACAAAACCCTTTTTTTTGTTTGGATAGCTTTCAAGATTTTTAAAATCTTGACTAGGGATGTCTTCCATACTGAGACAGCCTAGAGGCAATAAACAGCATCATCGTGAATAGGTAGAATTGTCTGGCTTTTTGGAAGAAGGAGCATATAAGCTTTTTCTGTTCTTAAATACCATACCTCTTCTTCACTGTAAGGAAGATCACTTGTTTCGATTTCCTTAAAATACTGCTTGAAAGAAACTTTATTTACCTGATGAATGTTTATATTTAAAAACATAAATACTGTGTTATCTTGTTCATTTGCTTATAATCAGCATTTCCAACCTAAAAATACAGCATGCTTGTGTTATATGCCCCCTTCTTGTCAGTAAGTGCTTCCAGAGGTGAGGATTTACAAAGCAAGCAGATAGCCAGGCAAATTTCTGGCAGCTACTCAGTTCCAAGAAAGATCTGCAGCCAGAATTCCAGAAATACATAGCTCAGACTGCTAGCTAGAGAATTTTTCTTAGCTAATAAATGCCCACGATTCATCACAAGAACATACTTGAAAACAAAACCACATATAATTAAAATATAAAATTTCAGTATCGTAATAGCATATTATCCAACTAAGTATGCAATACATGCCACACATAGTATTCCACCATGCCAGACCACAAGAGCAAACTGCGCAACATGACGACTAAATTCACCTTCAGTTTTAAAAATCAATAGTTACAAAAGCCTTTGATACAAAATGGCAGTAAAATCTATTAATGTGTTGGATATGAAGAAAAAGCCTTACTACCAAAGAACTGCAAACAAAGTAATGCAGCAGTTTACTAATGTGGTTTCAAAAGTCATAAGTGTTAAAAAGGTAAGTATGAAATGAGTGGATGATAAACATAACAAGGAACTAGCCTAGAGAAATTCTTAAATATTGTGGAAATGATCTTCAAATGACAGCTGCAAGTTGCCAGAAGACACTATAAGGGCTCCCAACACAAATACTTCAAGAAGAACTGGTAAAAACTATTTAAAAACAAATAGCTGTGTTTTCTATGAAAGGAAAGCTGTAAACAGATCTCATGAGAAATCCATCAAAAAGAAAACAAAAAATGATCAACAGTATTTAAAAAAATTATAACCCAATGTGTCAAGCTCCTATTGGAACAATCTAAAAGAACTTAATATGTTCTTTAAAGAAAAACTGCTAAGGTTTGGTATGATGCTATTAAATTCCAAAATTACCAAGAGAGACTTAGAAAGGAATGTATTTTCAAATGTAACTATTATTTTTGATTAGACATATTTTTATGTTTCCTAAATAAATGAAAGTAATGTTTAAGAGGCTTTTTCCCTGTACTCAGACATTAACAGGCAGGAAACTACAACATGAATGAATACAGTATATAATCCCCTACCAATCTCCATGGGGACACTTGGGAATGCTTAAGATTGCCTTTTGTATACAGACTTGAGCTGGCTCTGTCCACACAGAGAGGCTAGAAATTTTAAGTGGAGCACACCACAGTGCTACTGTGGAAATAAGGATTTCAAAACAGATCTGGCTCATGTCTGGCCAGCTTGGAGGGGGGATGTCCCAAGGTTCATTCTGCCTGCACATGTCATGCAGATAATGCAAGTGACTCCAGTTTCAGGGTGCAGTTAAGTCACTTCCGTGAACAATTATAATGTGCACTGACTGCCTTTGTGGAAGAAGTCAGTGTGGAATTACTCTGTGTCCTGTAAATCCACTCCCTAAATAACTACATCTTAACTTTCCTGTGTAGACCTTCTCCCCAGAGCTCTAGACACATAAATAGAGAGGCAAAGCTTGAGGCGTGAACAGGAGTGAATCGCATTGTACCTGCTGTGCACAAACAAGCTGCCTCTATATTCGAAGGAATATACAAGGCTGCATTTGAAAAAGCAGGCCACTTGAATATGGAGAAAATACGCCAAAATATCCAGGGATTATTTGTCACTGCCAAGGCAGGACTACACCAATTTTAGGGATTGCATTGTGTACTCACAGCTTTATAAAACCAAGACAATTTAAACTGCCACAGGTTAGCACACCGATGTATGTAAACCCTTGGAAACAGGTTTGTGGTATACTTTTATTTTGTATTATAGCATTACCTACTGATGAACACTCAGGGTACCAGCAACAGTCTCTGCACTACAAAGCGAGAGAGCTTACTTTTGACAAGTATGTTGCATGTATCACTTCACGATCAGTCCTGTCAATAAACTTGGCCACTATCAATCACAAAAGGAAGAAAGAAAATACGCCAATAGCATTTGAACAAACATTAACACAAAAGCAGGGGCAAGTTTATCGCAATACACATCATAACACCTCTTTCTGTGTCTTCCAATACATGGCTTCGCTAGATACTATCCAAAACTCAATTTTAGCAGAATATGACCTTTAAGTTTAGATTTAAATTTGCAAAATCTGAAATAAAACTCAATTTTATTTTTAATCATTAATCTGGAAGACTTCTTACAAACAAAATAGGCCATGCTAAGATGCCCCAATGCCTCAAACAATAGAAGACAGCATTTAACAAAGAGAAAACTAAGGTGGGATTGCAGACACTGGCAGAAGCGTAGGCTAAAGGTCAAATCTGGTAGCTCATTTTAGAGTAACTAATTTATACAACCTTTCTTATAGGCATGGCTGGTAGCTCTACCTACTATTATGGTATCATAACACTCCCCAGTACTAAACTCTGTTTCCGTTACTTAAAATTCTGTCAGATTTCTGAAGAGTTCATGGAGAAACTTCATATGCTTATTGACTGCCTCTCAGTTCTTTTGGTTATGGTTCACCTGGAACATGCACTTAAACATCAGTTGCAGAGCAATTTGTATGTCAGGGATTTCATTTTTTCACTCTGGTAAAAATACAGCCAAATTGAGCCAAAGTACTAACCCTTTAAAAACTCGACATTTGCACACAATTGCAGAAAATGACTGGAGGCAGAATCTCTAACAAGTCAGCCAACAGAGGCAGAACCTTCATTGCCACCACAGTTCTGGGACACCACAGCATCGCCGGATTCAAGCATCAGAACCCAAAGCAGGGAGATGCTGCTGTGTTCCTCCTATTTGTGACATCCCTTTTGGGTTCACGAACTAGAAGAACAACAGGGGATGAAGACACAGGATTGGGAGCAATTAGACAAGATAGGCAGAGGAGCTTGGGCCCGCCAAAGAAAACCTTCAGAAACCAGGGGTTCTAAGTCCAAAACCCCTACCTCTGAAGTCTCAGCATCCTGTTGGTGTAAGCAAATACCTATATAATCCACTATCAAAGTACTTTCTCATTCCCTGGTGAAGTGGCTGGTCCATCTATAATCACTAGGATTCATCCAAAGAATCTGGTGGATAAAAAGCAGCTGAATTTTGGCCCTACAATTAGATTCTACCCCTGCCTCAATTGCTCAGTGCTTGTGCTGCATGCAAATATAGATAATCTATTGTAATCAATACTCTTATGCCATATATTTATGAGCGGACAACTTGAAACGTGGGGTTTGTGACCAGGAGTGGTCACAGCTGCAACTGAAGACAATGAAGTCAAACTGAACACAAAAAGTTAACCAGTATTTTTATTTTATTATTTAAAATAGAGACAATTAGACTCTGTTTTCTACTTATAAAAAGAGGCTAATAATCCCCTTAACTGCATTGTTGAGAAACTTGTTACAGGGATAAGCTTCACAAAAAAAACT